ATGAAACGTAAAGGATGGGGCTATGCCACACTGCACACTGTAAAGATGGAAGTTAAACTTGGGTAGTGGCCGTGTCTGTCTTGCACCCTGGTAAATTTTAAAAATGGGATCTTTGTACTTATGTTGATTGTTTGTTTGTTTTAACTAACTGTTAAAACCCTCCTCACCAGGAAAAAAAAAAATCAGTTTGAGCATATAGGTTGAGCATCCCTAGTCTGAAATCCAAAAGGGCTCCAAAATCCAAAGCTTTATGAGTACTGACATGATGCCTCGAGTGGAAAATTCCACACCTGGGCCTCATAGGATGCTTGCAATCAAAACATAGGCACTAAAAATAGTGTGCAAAATTACCTTCAGGCTGTGTGAATAAGGTTTCTATGAAACCTAAATTAATTTCATGGTTAGATGTGGATCCCACCACCAAGATACCTCCACCACCCTGTTCTTATTCCCTGCACTAATATGAAAAACTTAAAGATAAATCCTGGTAAATTCAAAACAAATTTTAGAACTACTTAAACATTTGGGAAGTAGAAGGCAAAGCTCATTATGAAGTAGACTCAAAAAAAGTACCAGTGCATTTTATCTGTTTTTTAAGGCATCCCCTCACTGTGAAGCCCAGGCTGCCCTGAAACTCCTGCCTTAGTCTCCCTACTGCTGAGAATTACAGGCATGCACCATCACTGCCACCTATTTTATTTTGTATTATTGGACAGGAAGTAGGATTTACTGGTGGGCCTGATTAAGGGGGAGGAACACAATGGAAGCCCTCATGAGTGCATGGCCTGCTACTTGTCTAAAAGAACCCAATTAGAGATGCATTTGATCCCAGCCCTTCAGGATGAGCTACTTCCAAGCTACCATGGCTCCACATTTATCCACAGTAAACTTGAAAAATTCCCACTTCTTTGAGATGTGGATCTTCTGGCAGCCAGGGAATTTGACCATGGTCCTTCATGGGGCCTCAACCAGATTTTCCTTGTTCTGCAGTTTAATGCCGATGCAGATGAACCCTGGCCAGTGTGAACCCTGGCCAACTTGTGCTGGCTATTCCCAAAAGGCACCACTCTTACTTGTCTGGAGTCTAGACAGTACAGTGTCAGTGACATGAATGTCCATTGGAAAGAGCAATCTCCAAGATCCCCGAAGGTGACCCATATATACAATAGGCTATGACACTTCTGAGGAGGCTTCTGTTTGCATCCACTGCACACTGGGCAATACATTTTCAAAAGCAAGAAATGTATAATGTACTCCCTATATCACCATGGGAGAAATACAAAATCACAAAATTTAAAATCCAACTACAGTCATGTATCATTTAGCAGTAGAGATACATTCTGAGAAATGTGTCCATAGGTGATTTCATTATTGTGCAAACATAGAGTAGGTTTACACAGACCTAAGATGGCTGTGATGGCAGTAGGCAATGTAATCTTTTGGGACCACCATTGTTTATGTAGCCACCGTTGGCTGTAATGTCATCATGTGACATACGATTATACGTAAATCAAAATTAATTAATTAATTAGTTAATTCATTGCAAAAACACAATCCAAATAACTGTTGAATCCAATAGGAGACTAAAACTGCCACTGCAGGCTAGGTAGAATGTACCAAGAATGTTGCATAATGAAATTTGTAATATACACAAATACATACATAGAGAAAATGTATGATTTTATATACAAAAAAATTCATCTAAGTAAATGATCATTCAAGAAGATGGACAGAGAAATTAACAAAAGAAAAAAAAGGAAAGTTGGAGGAGGGAATTAGACCTTGATTAATTGGAAAAAGGGTGGTACCAATCCTGGTACTAATTTTTTTTTAGCAAACTAGACTGGTTTCCCACAAGTCTAATTTTTAAAATGAGGGAAAAAATTACCTACGCATTAAAGAACAAGGAAAGGTGCATACATGCTGACAGAGTTTAAGTTTAATTACTAGTACAATTCTTTGCTCACAATTTGGAAATATGAATGGATTGAACGGATTTCTAAGAAAATAGAAATTACTATAATTGATTCAAGTAGTTGAAAGCTTGCAATGGGCAAGGGAAAAGAGGGACCCAGGGGAACTGTCCTCAGAGAAGATTCCTGCCCAGACTGTCTTGCAGACTGGTTTCCTCAGAGCACCAAGAGAAGTCATTGCCCAAGCTGAATTCCATGTGGATTGTTCTGTAACTAACATACTAACCCTGCACTTGGCTTTGGAGAGGCAAGGTGGGGTGCCAGCATGTTCTCTGGCAGTAACAGATATAACACTGTAGATGACATGTCTGAGGAAAGCAGGGCCTTCAATTGGGCTGTTCCTTTCCTCACATGTGTTCATTTACATGCAGAGACTTGTACTAGATCCACAAAAAGGGATTTGTCCTGACGTTGCTCTGAGGGAATCAAAGGAGAGGAATCTCTGAAAGGGAAGGAAAGGGTGTTTGGACAATTGGATTGATATCACTTCTGACTTTGACTTTTATGCAGCTTCCTAAATGACAACCATGTCCTGCACAGGAACATGGGAATACAGAGTGGCCCTTGCCTGTGGCCACTAAGCCCTGGCTGTGAGTTTTACCCTCACTCCATCATCTCCTCTTGGCTTACTCTTGCCATTACTGGAAGGCTATTTGGACGCCTCTCCCCCAAGTTCCTGCTGCTGCTCCCCTCTGTTAGAGACATAAGAAACCCCTCCCTTGTCTGGCCTGGACCGTAGAGACAACATGGCTGGTGCACTGGACAGAGTCTGCCTATCCAGGATCCCAGATGCTCTGGGACTCTTCCCAGTCGTCTGTCTTCTTCCTTGTGCAGGTGCTCATGGAAGTACTATATTACAAGACACAGCTGCCAGGCATCATTTGGAACTTTCATGGTCTTTATATTTACCAAATCATGTAAATGATTATGTTCTCAGAGAAAAACTGGGCTCTGTGATTTTATCATTGGGCAGAGTGGGGCAGGACAAAGAAAAAAGGAAAGATGGAGAGAGAGAATATGAAAGTGAATATGAAGAGTTTTGACAGGGCTTTTTGTCTGCACTTTAATAATTGCATCCATTTTGTAAGGCCAAGACCTCTTGTCTTGTGTTCTACTCCTTGGCAAAGCATACTGTTCTGTGACAAGTCACACCACCTTTGTGGTAAAAACCCCATCTTCTGTCTAGATTTCAATCTCACTATTTCTCCTTCTCTCCTCCTGTTTACTTCTCACCCACTGAATCCTGGCATCTACCATTCCCTGGAGCCACTCTCTCCAGGAATTCCTGCCTTCCCAGGCACTCTGCAGAGTCTGAGCTGTGGCTCCCTTTTTTTCTTGCCTTGTTCTCCCCCTTGGCTCCTGGGCTCTGAGTTCTGAGTCTTGCTTCCATCTTCCAGGAAGTTCCTCTTCTGTTTCCCTGGCAAGTTCTAGGGCTTCTGTCCTTTGCTGTCCTCTCTCTACAACCTCCTGACTAATCCTCTTTGGCACCATCCTGCTACCCTCATCCAAATAGAGAGCCCACATCTTGCCAAGCTACAGCCAATTACCAATTTATACCCCACTCAGAGGCCCCAAGACAGTGAGTCCCAGATCTGACTCACCATGTCAGCCCTGCCTTCCTCATGAAGTAAACAGTCCCTCCAACTCCCAGTTTCACAAGCTACAAACTGAGGTGAGATTTCTTTTGCCTCCACACACATCCATTTATTTAAAAAGCCCTACCAACTGATCATCAGTTTAGAATGAGCCCAATGCCATTTCCATGTACAACCCATGATCTCTTACCTGGACCCATCTTGGGTCTGACTGCCTCAAGTCTTGTCACCTCCATACCAATTCACTTTTCACACCACAACCATTGTTACACCTCTATTGGGTCTCTTCTGCCCTAGATCATTCACGGTTCTCCTTGCCCTCAGAATACAGTCCAAACTCCCCAACATGGCTTAACAAGCACCTGCTTTTGCAAAATAATCTTTTTGGCATCTTCTCCTTCCTCAGCCCCTGTGAGTCCCCTGGTTGTTGTGTAGCCCCTGAATGGGCTGTGCTTGCCCACTGTCCCCATTCCCTTGCTCATGAAGTCCCTTCCTGCCACCCTACATAGAATGTTCTTGCTCCTGTCCCCTCTGCCTTTTAAGCCCGTAGGTGTCAGATCAAGAGCCACTCCAGAGGGAGCCTTCCAGCTTTGGACAAGTGTCCTTCCAGCAGGCCATGTAGCATGTCTACCCCTTGAGGGTATGCACCTCATATGGCTGGTCTGCTCACCTGATTCCTCCATTAGATTCAGATGTCTGAAGGCAAAGGCCATTCTTGTTCCTGAAACCCAGTACTGCCTATAATGCAGAATCCTTAATGTTTCATTCATGCACTGATAAATGAATCTATTGCATTACTTTCATTATATATTTATTGCATACTTTTATATCCTGTGCACTATGCTATGTCACCTCATAAGTGCAGTGGAAAGTCTAATTGCTAGAATCCTCAGAGAAAGGCACTATGATAAGCTCTTGACTCCTGTTCTCTTTAGGAAGCCTGAGTGTCTCTGGAGTTGGGAGTTCACCCCTTAAGTACATTGTGCCCCTGTAGAGTTCTTTCAGAGTTCTTGGGGCCACTGAGATTGCTTCAGTCTCCAGCCCCAACCCACTCAGACCGCAGGAATGCCCTCTAGCTTCTCTTCCACGACATTACTTTGCTTCACTGTCACTGTGTGTGCCACACTTTCCTCATCCCCACTTCTAATCCCATTGCAGACCTTACTGTGCCAGATGCTATCCAGCTGAATGAGACACTGCCCTCAAGCACCTTTGCTCATTTGTGGAAAGTAGACCTAAAATGATGACAACACTGATGAGAAGATGATAAGGGACGTAAATGAGCATGGGGGACTCTCTTGGGGGGGTTGGGGAAGAGGAGGGGGAAGGCAGAAGATACCGGGAGGGGTGAAGAGGGTGGAAGTACGCTGAAGACAACATAATTAAACCCACGGAACACTACTTGAAAGAGAGGGGAAGAGGGAGAGGAGAAATGGGAATATGGTGGAGGGGGTGTACACATGTATGGAATTACCGCATTGAAACCTCCCCTTATTATCAATGTATGATAAATAAAAACAAAATCACCTTGAGGCTTTCTTAGCAAAAATTAATTGCACGTATTTTGGGTGTTTCTAAGTGTTACCTGACTTAACATCAGAACTTTCCCTTGAAGTTGTCTTTTTTTTTTAGTAAATCACTATCAACTGCTTTTGTGTGATTTTCCTCCCTTCTCCAGGTGGAGTGCAGAAAAAGAAATTTTAGGTCATTGCAGCTTTCATCTGATGCCGACCAAGCTCCAGGCCACTGGCAGAGATATCCTCTGAAGCCCAGAGTAGAACCCAAGAACTCTCAGGAAGACATACCCTGCTTCCTAGGCATGTGCCCAGACAGCTCCTTTTAGCTCTTTAAGGGCATGTTCACCTTTGTCCTCCAGTGTGTGGCACAGTTTCTAAAATATAGAGAGTATTCAGTATATTTGTGGAATTAGCAGAGAGAGGAGAAGGGGAAGAAAGGAGGTGGGAGAGAGAGAGGAAGGAGGGAGAGGCAGAACTGAAAATGATATCTCAGACTCTTCCAGGGCTAGAAATTAGATGGTATCAAATGGAAGGTTTGGTAAATAGGTTTGTTGCCCCTAAGTATGTGTGAAATGTCAACCTAGGGAGTTCCTGATGTGTTAGAAAATCTGACACCATAAGTACTGAAATAAGTACCCCAAACTTGGAGAGTTTCCAGTGCAGTTAGAAATAACCTTAGGGTAGTTACATAACAGGGAACATGTAGCACCTGTCAAAGCCTGCCACTCTAGAGAGGAAGAGGCATACTTGCTGAATGGACTCAAGGCACTAAACAGCTCTTATTAACACGCATAATTGCTGTTTTGAAACTGAAGCCATCTCTCTTCCTACCCTGAAAGCTGTCCCAGCTAGGGTCTGGGTTGTAGTAGTGTGGGTGCCTCTGTTTTTCCTTCCCTTTTCTAGTACCATCAATATGATACCAGGTTGAGAGTAGATGTTTTGTGAGTTTGAGTTCACATACCATTTTCAGTAGATTGGTTGTAGCTCACTGGAGTGTTGCGAAGAATTCTGAAGTTGAATTTCAGTTCAGTGTGGCAAGTTCCATGGAAAGAGGTGAAGGGGGTTGGAGAATAGCCGTGTGCAGGCCAAGAATTTCCCAGCCCTATTCCAGAGCACAGTAAGTTGATGAGAGCAGGAAGTAGTGTCCATCACCTTTTTACCTAAGTAAGAGTCAACTGAAGGTATTTTCATTGGCTTTCAGATCATGTTCTTTAGTGAGTAGAGAGAAAAAGAGAGTTAAATATCTTAAGTATTTCAACCATTTCTCCAACCTGTAGGTATCTGATATTTGAGGCTAGATCAGACCTCATGACCACAGACAGGGCAGGAACAAGAGACTATTTTAAAAGTCCCTCCAGAATAAATATTTTCCATGGTTATTCAGAGGCAATTTAAGCTTCTGAAACTTGAGCTACAACTGGATACTCTTAACTTAGCACAGAAGCTGCTGTCCAAACTGGTAACCTGCAATCTTAGATTTGTGCACTGGGAGTCAGAACAACTGAGGAGGAGCCACCAGGCGTATTTCCTTTACGACAGTCAGTTACACAACTGCACACACCGCACCTTTCACCCAGGGCGAATCCATCCTGTCATTTTTTTGAGGCATTGTTTTTTAGATGGAGAAACTGAGGCATGACCTGCAGTTTTTCCCATCCACACTGGAATGTGTAAGCTATGAAAGTATCTTGGTTCATAGGCGTCAGGGCCCAGGCAGTCAATAAATAGTCCTTGAGTGTTTTCCATGCACCAATTGTAAACACTTCAGATAGAGTTATGAGCAAGAACGCCTGGACCCTCAACCTCAAAGTGCTTCCGTAGTTGAGAGGAGACAGACAGAAGCACCCCTGTAAATAATACTCTAAAGACAGCAATAAATGTATTGAGGAAAATGCACTTGGGTGTATTCCACCTTGGGTGTCCAAGGAAGCTATTTGAAGGAATGGCAGTCACATTTCAGTTAGAATGAGGTGATGGAATGGAGTTGATGTTACAAAGTTCTTGAAAAGACCCTTCTAAATCAGAGAAAAAAACAGGCACACCCCTGGTCAGAAGGAGAACCCATGTGGTTGGAGCAGAGAGAATGCTCAGAGACCTGCCCCTTAGCCCTGACGTTTGCTAAATTGTGTCTGTTGGTAGTGGTGGTTTCTTTAAGACTTGAAAACATTTGTTGTACTTCCTGGAGCCGCTTTTAACTCAGCCATCACATTTGGTTGTATGTCCTCGCATAGCTGTGCGGAGAGAGACTGTGAGGGCATCATAGCACGGAAGGAAAATGCCTTCCTTATAATCCTACATCCACTACTCGATTCTCTCATCTCAGTTGCTGGTCACATCCAGGCTCAGGCTCTAACCTGGAAACTGGAGAGTCATTCTCTCACTGTGGTGTCTTTGTAGATCTCTCTGTGATGGCCTTCCTCCAAGCCCTCTCCCGTGGCAAGGCCATGTTGGTCCCTCCGTGGCATGTTATCCATCATGTTCTGATCTGATCATGGCTTCCAAGAGGCCATGAGCTCCTTGCAGGCAGGGAGCATGTCATAAAGTCATCATTCATGTTCAGCCACCTGCCCACAGTAGGCACCATCAGTGTTTGGTAAGCAAATGTGCAGCTGAGCAGGCCCCCTTTGTATGCCATGATTTTAGCTATTTGCTCATTATCATCAAAGGCCCATCAAGCGAGGATTAATACTGACATGGGCATCTGCGTTCTTCTTTATAGTCTTCTCAGTTTATTCAGATTCCTTACATGAAGCAGCTGTCAGTTACTTTTAGAATTCTTTGTGCTGAGGACTGGGGGCATGACTCAAGTCGTAGAGCACCTGCCTAGCAAGCACAAGGCCCTGAGTTCAAACCCCAGTACCACCAAGGAATAAAAAAGGATTTTTGTGGTGTAATGTACATAACATTACATGTACTGTTTTAACAGTTGTTAAGTGTACAACTCAGTGGCATTAACGCATTCACACTATCAATGTATGCTAATTAAAATATAAAATTTTAAAATGAAATGCATGCTGAAATTTTACACTTTCATTCTTGTGACTTGTGTGATGATGCTGGGTGGCATGAAATTGTTTTCAAGTGTGGTTCTAACTTTCTCTTACAGCATCAAGCTTCTAGCTGTGCAAGAACTACTTGACAAAGAGGCCCTGGAAAAGGTAAATATTTTGCTCTTCTTACCCCATATTCACAAACAGAGCAGAGTGCCACCCATTGGAAAATTCCAGCTCCATCACTAAGGTGTGCAGTTATTTTGTATTCTTGACAGTGAGTGAGCTATGCAGAATTTTAATCAAAACTCTCATATCACTCATATTCATTCACACTTACAAACTCAATACTGCTTGCCTCCTTTTAGGGCAGGGTGGTAGCAGGGGCTTGCCCTGTGACAATGTGGGCCTCACTCAAGGCTTTCTGTGCTTCAGAGGACCATGAGCTGGAGGCCTCCTGAGTGCCGGGCTATGAGTTCCTCCCCTCGGTTTGATGTTTGTGATTATCTGGGTGCATGGATTATGGAATGAGGCCCAATAAGGTCTGATAACTTGCCCAAGGCCAACGAGCTAAGTGGAAGAGTGATGATTTGAACTCTGTACTTCTATTTCTAAAACCAGTGCTTTTCTGTTTAATAGACAAATTTATAAGTTTGTGTCCCTTTTTAGGTCACTTCTAAAGATTGGGAAACTGCTTCCTTTCCCCTAAACTAATATTTCACTGAATCCTGGAAGAGATGTCCAGTGTGTCTCTCCTTCCTATGTTCAAGTCAAGTCTGAAACTGGGAATTCTTTGCTGGTTGTGGGTTCAAGTTCTGCATGCAAGGAGGAATGAGCTTTGCAAAGCAGGCTGGGCAGATGCCCAGTAGGCCAGGACCCTGCATTGCTACCCCTCAGGCCTCCCAATTCGTGCCAAGTTACTAGGTAGCTCAGGACATAGCTGTGGGTGTTAATTAGAATCTGTACCAATGGCATAAAAGTATGTGGCTAGAGAGATAAGCACTCAAATGCTGTTGCTTTACTTTTGGAATTTAAAAATGTTTGCATTAGTAATCATTTGGCACTTAAATGAGTAAAGTCTTTAAAATCAGCACTAAGCAGTGATATGAAGGGAGGCAGGGGGCTGAGCTCTGGCATTATAGTTAATATATCCTCAGCCTCATTTCCATCCTGGATAAAACAAGGACAGTGTACTGCTGCTGGAGCTTACAGAGGCAAGATGAGAGCCAAATGAGTTGATGTAGCAAAAGGGCCTTCTAAATGCCAAAGCACTCTACTTGTATTAATTCTTAATTACGTATATTAATTCTTAATATGCATTCAGCCATTAAAACACACTAGGCCTGGCTATAAAAGCTATCAGTGAGCCAAACAACAACCTTGGATGAGGACAGTAGATTAGATAAAGATATTACATCAACATTAACTTTTCCTGAATTTGATAATTTGCTTGTGATCGTGCAAGAGAATGGCCTTGTCCTTAGGAATTACATGCTGATGTGTTTGAGAATAAACACACACACACACACACACAGACATGCAGATAGAGCCAGAGAGAAAACCAAGTATAAATGAAAAGGCCAGTGGAGCAAAATGCAAACCATTGAGCCTTCTGGGTATGTAAGAGTTCTCTGTATGTTCTTGAAACTTTTAAAAAGTTACCTTCCCACCCCCCACCCCAATTTTTCTTTATGGTACTAACTGTATACCGTATATTTGTTTTACTCCTCGATTAAAAAGTCAGAAAAAGCTGGCAAACATGGAGCCCCTGTGCTAAGGTATTGGTCTAGTAAAAACATATGTGCCAGAAATATTGGTTGCATCTTTTGAACAGTGCTACTGTCTGATTTAAGAGAGGACGTAGAGCCAAGTCAATCCATGTGGAATAATGCTACAATGTGCTGTGGCTGAGAATCCAATGTGGATTCTGTGTTTGGACCTAAAGCCTCCTCCTTCTTCCTCACTGAATTGCCTCAGGTTACTTATCCTCTCTGTACCTCAGTTGCCCAGTCTATAAAATGGAAATCGTTATAATCTCTAGTTCACAGAGGTTTTGAGAAGAGTAAGTGGACAGTCTGTGTGCAGGTCTTAAACTCTATGCCTGGCATTCAGTGATCCCCAAAAGTTAGCTCTTGTATATACTCTTTCCTACTCTTTCCCTCCTTCTTCCTCTTTCTCCTTCCTTCCCTGTCTCTTTCTTTCCTTCCTCCTCCTCTCTTCCTCTCTCCCCAACTCTGGTGGTGGCTTTGTATTCCCTCATCTCAAGAGGTGACCACAGAAAGCTCTATAAGATGATCTAAATATATACAGGTGTCAGCTAGGTGCCAAGTTCTTACTTTTCCCTCTGTGCATTCATTCAGTCAGTCATTCAGTGATTCATGCTGCAAGCGTTTGTTGAGTTTTCTGTGTGCAAAGCAAGTAGCAGACATTTCTAGAAAAGTCTAGAAGCAACCAGTCATCATGAGTTTGGTAGGTAGTTGCATTTTGGTTGACACATGATATTGCCTGGATTAGTTTTCTTTCTTTTTTTTTACTTTTAGTTCAGTTTATTGAAATAAGATACAGCCTCTGAGGAGCCTCGTGACTGACAGATTTCCCTTCTCCCTGGGCGTGTTGGAGAGGCACTGAGAAAAGTTCTTCGTAAACTCTGGAGCGTTGCTACCCAAAGTTTGTTCCCAGACCTGAAGCACTGAAAGCTTGTTAGCCATGCAGAAACTCAGCCCCCATCCCAGACGCCTGAACCAGAGTCACACTCTAAACAGACCCCAGTCGCTTGTGCACTCTGAAATCCAGGATCACTGCCATAGAGCCTCAGTTATTAACACCAATCATGATGATTGACTAGATTAGACCGTAATAGTCAGAGATATCCTGTGAGAAGTCAAAGTTTTCCTTTTATGGCCACCTAACTGCCTTTTCTTGGCACCAAAAGCGAAGTAGACACCATCCTCTTATTTGGGAGAACCTAGTTTTCCTCCTTAGATAACCTGCTGCTTCCTTTCATTAAGGAAATAGTCTGTTTAATGGAGTAGGGAAAGCCAGCGAGCAGGGCCACACACCCGCAGCCTGGAAACCTCAAACTTCACTGACTCTCTTGCAGTGGGGGTGCCTTTTGTAGTTTTGCCTTTGGATTTTGTGATTACTGAACTCCCAAGACACCGCCATCCATGATGGACACCCAGAGACAGACAGTCCCAAAAGGGGGTATCTTCACGTGCCTCACTCTTGGAAGATGCAAGCTGTTCTAAATGGGTCTTTTCCCCCACAGGCAGTGGTAAGTTGTATCAGAACAGTAAAAGATTTGAATTAGGGGAGAAAGAGATGGGATGCTTCTGTGTGAAAGCAGTGGCTTTCAGTAAATGACCTGAATGTAGATGGGGGGACGAATTCCCCAGCCCCTCTGGCTGTGGTTCTGCAGCCTCTACTGTACCTCCAGAACCCAGTACTTTGTGCTTCTGGCATCTTTTAAGCTCCTTAAATAATTTGGTTCTCTGCATACCCTCAACCCTTCTGTCCATTCCCCACTTTTGTTCCCAGACCCTCTCAGAGGCCCCTCCAAGGCTGACCATATAGACAGCAGGAGCCACCTCATCCCCCTGCTGGGATTTACTTACCTAGCGAGTCCAGTGGCTGCTGAAATCTGACTGATGGAGGGATGGAGAGGCCCACACAGGGCCTTCTGGCAAAGTCAGACATAGTACAGCAGCCTCAGAGCAGTTTCAGAGCCTTGTGGAGGATTCCAGTGAGTTTGAACTTCCCTTTGAGACTAGCTGATGGACCTCCTGGACTGGTCATGCCAAGACTGGCCACCCCAGGTCCAAGCAGTTTGGGAGAACCAACCTGCCTGAAAGGTCTGAACTGACAGACACCCCTACTGATCAGGCCAGCCCAAAGGGGGAAAAATATTAGAGTTATGTATGACATAAAAGGCTAAATAGCACTGTTTTGGGGTGCCATAGAAAATAAGATTTCCCAAAGTCCATATGTTTTCTCTCATATTTGGAAGCTAGACCTCTAAGTTAAATGTATATTTAGAAACTTAGGATTACACACACACACACACACATACACACACACACACACACACATACATACACATATATAGTGACAGAACAAAGTTGTATTAGTGAGTCTGTCTGAGGGGACTATGGGAGGTGGGAGAAAGAAAATGTTAGAGAATGAAAAATACTGAAACAGCCCATCTGTATATGAATATAATATAATGTAGTGTACAGTAAGCTATTGAATATTAGGGGAGCATGGTGATAAAGAATGGGTAAATAATGGGGGAGGAGGCCATTAATTTGATAAAGCACCATATATACACACCTGAAGTACCAAGGCAAAATCCCCTTGGACTATTATTATACACTTATTTTTTTTAAATGAAGGGCAAGAGGGAAAAATAAATCTTTCCCATGGGTGGATACCCATGGGGGGTGGGAACAAGGAAGGGGGAATGAGGGTGAATATGGTAGATGTGTTTTGTATCCATATATGAGAATAGAAGAATGAAACCTGTTGAAATTGTTCTAAAAAGCATGGGAGAGGGGAAGAGAGAGAATGATGGAGGGTATAAATCCAACTAATACATATTTTTAAACACATATGTAAATATCACAGTGTAACCTCCTGTACACAATTATATTAGAATAAAATCAGAAGTTTTAAAAAAAAAGAAAGTAAGATTTCCAATGCTTTTTCTTATTGCTGTCAGACATTATTATGACCTTACTATTTCAGCTTAAAATCTCCCGGTCTTAGCCTGAATCATCCTTTACCTGGTCTTTGATGGAGAGCTTTCTGCTTTCAGAAGTGCCCGGGTGTTCTGCTTTCTGTAGATCCCAGAGCCCCGTTCTCCTGGCCTTGGCAGAGGGTGCTTCTGGAGTCCCAGATCTCCTTTCCTTATCTGTAATGCTGCTCTCTGGACCTCCCTCCCACTCTGACTCTAGGACTTCATTTTTCAGAGTTGAAGACTCTGGGAACATTTTATCTTTTTGTGCTCTATCTTCTAATATTTTCTCCTCTTCCTTACTCCCAGTGGTTCTTACTGAGTTTGGGGGCTTTTGTGATTCATCTCCCTATTCACCATCTGGGAAGAGGCAAATGGTGAGCACATACCTTGTGACCCCAATATGTAGACCAGTGGGGTTCCAGGTTTTACTTCT